AAGGTCTCACTGTATTGCCAAGGCTGGTCTTGAACTCTTGGGCTCAAGTGATCCTCCCGCCTCAGCTTCCCACAGTGTAGAATGTGACATTGAACGCATGCATCCTGGGTGCTGGGTGCTGTGCCTGGTGTTCTGCATGCTTGATCTCAGATCACCCTCCTTCAGAGCCTGTGAGGCAGTTCTCCGTGTCTCATGGATGCAGAAACTGACTGCAGGGAGGTAGTGTCACCTCGGCCTCACAGCCAGCCAGGAGCAGATCTGGGAGTGGCCGGCTGACTCTGAACACATGGTCTCGGCCCATACACCAGAGGCATCCTGGGGCAATAGTAATCTTGTCAGGCACTGATTTCCTTGTTGAATTTTATGTCGTTATGAATTTTTAAGAAGTGAACATATTTTCCTGTTCATCCCCAGGATAGAATAAAAGGGAAGAATTTCAAGGGGAATTTCATCTGATCATTGCTTATTGAGTTAAACGCGCACACAGCCAAATATTGGAAAATGCGTAGAGAAAAACACACACAAAGTAAGGCAGTGCATCTCCGGCTTCAGGAGCCCTCCTGAGCGAATGCCCATGTGGGAAACCTTGGCCCTCGCCTTTCAGCCTTTAGTCCTCGCGTACAAAGCCCAGTCCTTGTGCTGAGAGGCTCCAGACGCAGGGCCTGCGGTGCCTTCCCGGCACCCCTCACTCTGCCAGCGCTGACTGACTGAGCGACCCCTTCCTGCTCCTTGTCCCATCCCCAGTCCTCTCCTGTGCCCTCCATGGTAGGCAGCAGCACGGGTCCCCCTGACTCTGCAGGAGCAGAGCGCTCAGGGAGTTGCATGTTGCCGTGCAAACAACCCTGGTCTTCAGCGTTGCCAGCTCCAGCCCGTGTTCCGCTTCCTCACCCCACATGCAACGGCTGTGTGATACCGGGCAACATCCGTAACCTTCCTGAGCCTCAGCGCCCATCTGTGCAGTGGGGGTGCGTGGGTCTAACGGTTCTATGAGATACCACACACCCCTAGTCTCTGCTGGGCGGAGTGAGGCTTCCCTTCTCACTGCTGCTCCTTTTCAAGGGGAGCGGTCCACCGGGGGCAAGGGTGGGGCGACACTGCCGGAGATGAGCCCAGTCCTGGCTCATTCGCTTCTCCCCCATAGGCACAAGGGAGGGAGCAGTGGGTTGGAGGTGCTCACAGTATCACACGCCGTATCTACCTTACAGGGGAGACATCAAGGTGTGTGTGGAAGGAATTTTAGAGCTAATACAGGCTGGAAGACAGCCTGAGGTTCAGAGAAGTACACCATGTCTCACATGCCAAGCGGATACATTCTCCGATGATCCAGAGTCAGGGGAGGCCAAGAGCCCCTTCCCACGCCCTCAGGAGGGCATCGCTTCCCCTGCCTCCGCAGGACATGCAGGAGCACCCTTGGGCATCTGATCCTCACAGGCCTGGAGCATTAAGTGGACACACACCAGCAGCCCCTTTATAGAAAGAGCCCAGGTCCCAGGGAGGCTGTGTGTGGTGTACACGGGTCTCCCCACTCCGGTGGCAGGTGGGGTTGGAACTCTGCGTTCTGTGCCATATCCTGACCTTCGGGACATCCTGTGACCTCCCCTCAGACAGACCTGCCATATCTTCCATCTGTTCCATTCCGGCCTGGGGAGGTTAGCTGCTGTCAGGATGTGGTGCAGCCTATGGTGACTTCGTCTCTCTTGTTCCTTCAGAAGCACGCGGGCCATGGCTGCATGCCAGGTCGGAGCCTTTCATTCAGGGTGTGTGCCTGCCAAGCCCGGAAACAGTGCGGTGAGGGGCAGGGCATCCTGGTTTTCTGCTGTGTCGCCTGGCGCTGGTGGACGTGAGCACGTCGGTGCCGCCGTCCTGTCCCTGCTTGGTGTCCGCAGCGGGAGGGCCCAGTTAGGGCAGGTGTGTGCTGACCACAGCATGCTGAGCATGGAAGGATAGGTGCTCCTGTCGTCTGCAGCTGCGTCCTGGGCAGTGCCAGCCTCCACACGCTCATCTTTTTTTTTTTTTTTTGAGATGGATTCTCACTCTGTCACCCAGGCTGGAGTGCAGTGACACAATCTCCACTCACTGTAAGCTCTGCCTCCTGGATTCACACCATTCTCCTGCCACAGCTTCCCAAGTAGCTGGGACTACAGGCGCCTGCCACCACACCTGGCTATTTTTTTGTATTTTTTTATTAGAGATGGGGTTTCACCGTGTTAGCTAGGATGGTTTCGATCTCCTGACCTCGTGATCTGCCCCCCTCAGCCTCCCAAAGTGCTGGGATTCCAGGCGTGAGCCACTGCGCCCAGCCCACTTTCTCGTCTTCTGTCACTTTCCCTCACAAGATGGAATTCACTGTGCTTAGAGACCATCCCGCCCGTCAGCCGCTTGGCGTGGCTCCAGCACGGAAGGTGCGTGCGGCTGCTGGCCCACAAGATGGTGGTGGTTTTGCAGGTCTCCCAGCAGAGCCTCCTCAGTGGTTGCGGGGAACATTCTGGATGTGTCCTTGGGTTCTCCGGGAGCGTCGCGCCAAGGGCAGCTCACAGAAGAGTGGGCAGGGTGGCGCTGGCCGAGCTCGGCCTGCGGGGACCCTCCGCCCCCAGGAGCACGTGGCGGAATGTTCCAGGAGAGGCCAGCACCAGGGCCTTGTCCCAGCCCCACCTCGGTCACTGCCAGGCAGTTCCTCAAGGAGCCTCAGGGAGGCTCCTCCCACCCCACCCCAGTCTGATTTTATCTGTTTGAACGGAGGACCTCATGAACCCTTTCTTTGGATAAATGCAAATGACGCATCCTCTCTTCAGTAGCACCACACTCCCCCGTGCTTCCTTAGTTTTCTGCGGGTGCTGGATCTTCCCCTTGGTGTGAACATGGAACGTTGCCCGTTCTCTGTGTCCAGATGGTTATAGGATGGGGCAGTGGCAGGAGCTGGACACAGGACCAGGATCACGCAGCACCTGCCCTGCCCCCCAGGGCCACCCCAGGGGCTGTGATATGCTCTGGGATGCCCACCCCGTGAAGCCTGCTCTTCTGGAAGTGGCAGGCGTCTCTGCCCATCAGCTGCCTGGCTGGCTCTGGGTCTTGGGTGAGAGTGTGGTGCGTGGCCCATGCTGGCCCCTCCTCCTGTGAGCCCGTCCTCGCCCCTCACGGCTCCTGTTCAACCCCATTCACTTTGGTTTTGAGTTGGGATGGAGCATCCCCTGCTCTGAGTAACTTAGGCCAGACGGCCCATGAGGAGTGCACTGTAGAGTCCCTTGCACGCAGCGCCGTCGGGTCCCACTGTGATGTGCCTCACAAGCACCTGGCCCCAGCCACCCTCTCTCAGCCTGCGGGGCGCTGCGGAGCCACGCGCTGGCCTCGCCGCGAGGGGATGTCCGCGTGCACCCTACGGTGATGAGTGGTTCCCAGGACTCCGCGTGGCATGGAATGAAGAACAATGGCCAGACTGAGAGGAAGTGGTTTGGAATGTTTGTTTAATTAAGGCAAATTGGAAACAAGATCTTTTCGACATGGACCGCAGGTCTGAAAGCCGTGTGAGGCTGTCCAGATGTCCCATCCTGGCGGCTGTCAGCTGCAGGCGCTTCGTGTAGGAGTGCGTGCTCCTGTGGGGCAGCGTTTGTGGACGTTGCCGTCAGGTGCTGTCCCCGTTCGCGGGGTCTGCCGTGCTCTCCCATGCGGTCATAGCCAGGCCCAGCCACCCGGTGGGTGGGGGGATAGGCGCACACCTGAGCTTGGCCCCGAGAGCGCAGTCTGGAGCTCAGATAAAGGCTGCTGCCTGCTTTCTCCTTATTACTGG